AAAAAAAAACCTTTTACTCCTGCACTACGCACATACACCAACGACAAAATAAAAAAAAATAAGATAGTAAACGAAAAGAAAAAAAGATAAACCTTTCGAATATCACTATTTCTTATTTTCATCGATCTTCTTGAGCATACTATATCACACCTATGAGCAAGACACAAATCCATATTAAATATTTCTTTCAACTTTTTTCACTCTGTGAGTTGAAATACAGAATCTACTTTAACTAGACAATTCATAATTATGATTGACATCGTCATGTTAAAATATGCTATATACATATATCCAAGAGCGCTTGGATGAGATGGCTTGGGTCTCTTTCAGCTTAACCAGTGGTCTCGAGTTAGAACCCTGGGAATACAACAGTGTTAAAACTTTTGAGGGAGAGCTTTGCCGCCCTTATGGTCCTACCCGGCTCGATTCCAGATTAACCGATTCTCCTGTGGATCTGGAAACCGGAAGGTCTCTATACCAAAAAAAAAATAAAAAAAAATATGCTACGTACGTTAACAATAAACCAATTGTCAATATCTCATCTAAATGGTAGAAAATGCTAAACGCATTATTATGGAAGGGATTGTCTATTTTATTTCTATAATATAAGCTATATTTTTAAAAACTCACCACAAGTGACATTCAATTGACATATTACTTAGAAAGTATGATTGGTGGGTCAAAATTCAAATTTATTCTCCACATGATAATTTTTATCAAGTGGGAATACTCATCATGTAGACCAATATTTTAAATAGCATACTGTAGCTAAAACCGGTACAATTACACTCACAATACTGGATTTACGGTTATACCGGTTTGTACTGGGATCGTACTAGTAAAAACTGCAAAATATCCATCCAAAATATTGCCTAATAAAAAAATAAAAAATAAAACTTTTTTAATTTAAAAATAAAAATAAAATTTAAGTTGCTAGTTAAAATGTTTTATTTTTATCTCATTGAAAAGTTGAAAATAATGATTATGGTCTTTTGTTTATTTTTTTTTTTTACATTTGGTATTATATATTTTTATGTATATTTATATCTATCATTATATTTGCTAATCCAGTAATACCGCCGATATTACTGGTCTGACCGGTCATACCGCGTATCGGTGGCTAGACCGGTATGACTATCGGTACGGTATTTAAAACACTGATGTAGACAACTATTTCACTTAATATCTTTTCATTGTACAAATATTAAGGTAAAAATTTAAATTTGGTCCTATAATTTGACCACTGTCCAAAAAACCACCCCTATATTGATCGCTTTCAATTTAGATCCTATAATTCGTCGATTTCATCAATTTTGGTCCTTTTTTATCCGTACCCTGGATAAAAAAGTGACGTAGCATGAAAAAATGACCAAAATTTGAAATCGAAGAAAAAGATAACATAAGTATGAAAAATAACAGGATGAATATGTTAATTTAACAGGATGAAAAATAACACAATTTTGGTCCTTTTTTATCCTTTTTCACATAAATATTATTTCTACGAAAAAAAAAAGATAATCTTGCAACTCTACTATACCAACAAAAAGATGTATGAAAAATAACATATATAAGTATTAATTTATTATGTTTTACTCAATACAGGAAATATAATATAGATATAAAGATTAACGATTAATTC